CGATGGAGTGTAAACTTTCCTCGGGAGAGGCTCAGTCACTGTGCTACTGCGCCAGCCGATACTGCCACACTGTTTGTTGTTGCTGCTATTGCTACTGTTATTGTCAAACCTTGATTCGGACATTTCTCGGTTCCTGGATTTTCTACAGCAGTGGTCTTGTCAGTATCACAGTATCTGCAGTTCTGCTACTCTTCCCAGATGCAGACATACAAGAATGCATCCTGTCCCGACGGCCCTCATTGCGCTCAGATTCATTAGAGGTAAAGGCCAGTCAGGGTGTTTGGCACAAGCTGGGCCGAACCACGAACCTCACATTCCGGCTACCGGAAACTGGCGGCTGGAATCATCTCCATTTGTCACCAAAGCACTTCTGATCATGGATCATGGGCAGTTGTATACATACTTTGAAGGATCAAGACTTCTTAACAACTGCCCCTCATCTTCACCATAATTTTATTCGGAGTCGCCTCTGAACACATCTTGGGTATAGGCGCTCAGAAAGACAACCGCGCTGTGGACACAACAGTGACCAGCACAGGCACATTAATAGAAAGCACAGACCACACTGCTCGATAAGACTCAGACAAGCACTTTGGTGACAACGGTAATTGATTTTTCAAAGCTCTGAAAAGCACAGAGCCCGATGTACCTTGGATCTTATTTAGGCCTAGGCATGCGCAACCAGAAGCATTGCACTCGTGGACGGCGTCATACACGTTGGTATTTCGGACTGATGCGCGAGCATCGGCAATCTGACCGGGCCATGTTTCACCTTCATTTGCCAGAATCGGCATTACAGAGCCTCGCAGCACGACTGCAACTAGCGAATGCACTGCCACATCTCATCTGGCTCGTTCGGCGCAAAGAGTTGTGAAAGTAGGGCTTCTGGCCCAATTTGGTTAGCAAGTAGAGACTGAAATGCCCCCAAGTTAGACAGTCTGAGGTTCTGAGAGGCCATGTCCAGTTATGCAGCGGAAGATGCAAGTCAGGCCGGTCAGAGATTCCGAAAAGAAGGTGCATTGTGGTGGGAGCGCTTGCTTGATATACGGCTTATCTTGTCTTTACACATGCCTCAGCTTTGGCATCACAGCCTCCCGCATTGGAGGCACTCATTTGCTGCAATGATGGCTGCAAGTACTACGGCCAGTGGCCCCCTACCATTCTGTCTCATCACCCTACCAGTGCTGCTGTTTGACTACTTGTTACACAATCCAAGGCACTGCTTGGCATGTTTGTTCTGTGCTTACTAGAATTGTCAGTGCCGCTGCTATTCATGGCTCTGTTACCTTTTCTTGCTGCTGGTATCTCTTGTGCTTAGGGCCTATGTCTCGTCACAACTGATGCCCGTCCAGCACGAGTTTCGTCAGTGTAACTTAATTCCCGCTCTTCCTCCTGCTACTACTTATAGTTGTGTTTCTCCTCCTGCTCCTCCTTCTGCAGCTGACTGCTTATTTCTGCTGCTGCTACTGCCGCGCAATACTACCGCGTATCATTATTATCATCAGTATTTAGCATTATCATCTTCGCCACGGAGATGCCGTGACCTCTGCTTCTTTGCGAAGTTGCACAGCTACAATCTGCCGCTTGCACAGATCGGGCTGTTCTGCCTCCAGTGGGCTCCAGGCAGAGCAGGCGCTGTCTGATTAAGTCTGTGGGCATGGTGTTCAGGCTTTGGGGGGTGTGGCTGCAGGTGCCTATATGGGCAAAAAGAAGTGTCACTGATTGATGAATGCTCCGGGTAGTCTCCAACCATCATTGGATTGCAAAGCCATTTTGTCCAAGCCAGCTGGCACTGGCAGGGGTGGTGAATCGGAATGCATCTCACATTGTACGTTGTCTTGTCTTGTCAGGGCAGATCGTTCTGAACGTATGAAAGCGCTAACACGCGCGAGGCCTCAGCGTCTTTGCATCAGGGTTCCATCACAGGACCAACAGAACCTTGGAGCAGAGCCGTATTTTTACAGTTTCGGAACCCTAAGTCCAAACCCGCTTCAAGCTGCGCCAGAAAGTTGGTCTTGAAACTGGCCATGGCTTACGCATCGTTTACGGTTGGTGGGTGCCAGCCTTGCTAAGTCAGCCAAAGTTTTGTCCAGGGCGCTGTGACCTATTTCATATCAAGACCCAGACCCAGATCTTGTGCCTGCGACAGGATTTCCCTAACAAGAAGTCAGGAGGACAACCACGAAAGATTATGGGCAAAGATTAAGCTCTGGCCGTTGTCCCTGCCAAGTGCACGAGGCATGTCGGCTCAGATGGGGGTTCAGCAGTTTCAGGGAATGGGGACTGAAGTAGTGAGATCTTCTGGACACCCTGAATTATGACAGGGTTGGCTGTCGTTGTTTGGAGGCCCTTGGCCTTGATGCGTGCTGCCAGCCATTAAGATCAAGCATGCGCATGCCAAGCTAGGACCAACTATAGTTGCTTCAGTTTAGTGCTCAGCCTCGCGCATATAGCGATCACACAGCACTGAGCATCGCTACGACATCACCAAACGAACGGGTCCGACCTCGAACAAACATCCGTGTCCTGCCAGATCCATTGCAGTTAGCTTCAGTCGCAAGTCTTTGGCCCTTGGCGCCCTACGTTCACGAAGCCTTTGAAGCTGTCGGCCAACCATGGAACCAAGTCAAAACATCAGCGCAGCCAACCTAGAAATTCTGGAGGTGTGACCTTAAGTAGCATCTCAGAATTTCTACATGGGGATTGGTCTAAATTCCCTATAATACGGGGTCCTATATTTGGGTTCCCATTATAATACGGGGCCCTATATACATTTCCCCCATTTTGGGAACAGTAATTTAGGGAAACTACCACATGGATGCCGCGCAGCCGAGAAGCTACAGCCATGATGAAGCTGATGAGGCGTTCCAGGCTGCGGACAGCAGATTGCACCGAAGCAGGGCTGACACTGAGCTGGAGGTTTCAAAAAACTGCATCCATTTTGGGATGGTCCATCGTAGAGAGTGCCAGTATACACTTTGGTCTTGTACTCATTCTTGGGGCATTGCCACGTGGCTCTCCGCGTGCCATCCTGCGCCGGACTCTGAGACGCTGACCTCACCACGATCTAATAGGACACAGGCGCATGGAGGTTTGCAAGATCCTCTTGCAGAGCGTTGTAAGCTGTCAGACCAATGACCGGGACGCCTGGAATCGGCTCAGCGGCGTGGCGTTTGCATGGTCTTTGGCCTCTCTGCTGCAACTGCAGGTTTGGTGTTTGAGGCCCACCCTGGAAGAAAGTTTCCTGCACCTATCCCCATTGATTTTGCTTGTGATCCCGCGGCTGACAGAAAGTGTGCTTCGCCATGATGCCTTGTCCATCTTGACAGGCTGCCTGCAAGTCTTCTCCATCTTGTGTTGTGCTGTCGATGGAGTATTTGGGATAATTTTGGCATGGGACCCATCGAACCAAGGCAGTGGTACCTGTAAAGTAGAGAGGTCCCTCTGACTGCTACAATGCTGGTCTCATGTTGCCAGAAGCTGTTTGTGATAGGTCTCTCTGGATCAGCCAGTTCTGCGATACTTTATTTCTGAGGCCTATAGGCATCAAGCGAAGCATCCGCAAGCAACAAGATTACAGCCAGCTGCTTCAAGCCAAGGAGTTTCAAGAGCTGCGACCAGTTAAAACCTGCACGCCGAATGGGCTCATGCAGTAGCCAGCCACAACATCTCCAACTCATCATCAGCAACCCATTTGAGGATATTGGCTGTTAGACCTTGAGCCTAGACAAGCCTGAGGCTATCACTGTAGCCTTGGCAGTGCAAAGCGCGCAGGGCAACCGGCGTCAGGACCCAAAAGTAGCCAGTTGCACAAGCAGGTTGTTGCTAGCGTTTTGCCCCAACCAACTTTACCTGACCTCTCGGTGACACTCTTTGCGGAGCAGGCGGGCTATTGAGGGTGTCCTTGGGTGTTTGGATCTCCATTGTAAGAGGTTCATGGCCCGGATCAGACACGTGGATCCGACGAGCATTACATACCTCTTGATGTTTACCACCGTGTGCCTCATCCTTTGCAGTCATGTTCATCCACACTTGTGTGTGGCTTTTGCCTTTGCTGTACAGTTGCAGGAGAATGACACCAATGATCAGAGTGTCTTTTGTTTGTAGGTAGCCATTCAGACCTGGTGAAGCTTCATGTGAATGGGCTTAGCTAAACTAAACGCCTGGGCTGTCAGGTGCCTTGTGCTGGGGCGTCCTGTGATCTGCTAAAGGGTTTCGGTCGGCATTAAGGGCGGTTCAGGATTCAAATTCTAGGGTGGCAGAGGTGTTTTGACTACTGAAATCAAGTGCATGCATTCAGCAGCGTTTGGTGTTGGGTCAGGACCTGGGCCTCTTCTCCTCTCCAGAAGTTTCAGGATCCCTCAAGGCAAACAATTGGCAAACCCTTGCAGACAGACTCCAACAAAATCTCCGCAATAGCCACGCGGCAGTTTGAAAGCCATGGGTGACATTTTCAGCATTTATCGAACTATCTGCTGATGTGTCCCCACAACTGGGTTGGGCGCTGTTTTTTGGAACACTGCTGACGGGACATATACATGATCAGGGGAGGGGCGTTCAAATCATAATGCGCCGTGGTCAGGAACCGCGGCTTCGCTTGGAGCACTTCAACGGTGGCTGGATCCCATTTTGGAATTGCGGGCTTTGAAGTTTGAAGTTTCGATGTCGGTCAATTACGCGATTCGTTGGGGCTTGAGCCTTAAGGTTGAAGTCAGATCCCAAGACCTTACTCCCCGTCATCCTGCCGTACCCTGCCCATGCTGATACATGTCCTGCGGAGTGGTTTGAGAAAGGGCAACGCGCGCCGTCCTCAACCGATTTGGCACCCTTATCTACGTACCTTTATAACACTATAGCAAAGAAAGCTTGGGGCATGCACTTCCAGTCTCCAGTAGCTACAGTGATACCGATGCAGCCGTTCTTCCTAAGGAGGTAGCGAATTCCGCGCCAGCCACATGTAGCCTTTCCAATCTTGGCAAGTGCTAGGTTGGCAATTCTTGATGTGTTGCATCATTATTTGGCACCACTACTGCAGCTTGGCAGAATTTAGCACACTTTACCCTGATTGCAGTTTGCCAGGTGTATAGAGTGTCTTTTCACTTCACAGTCGAGGCTCCTTTTCTGGTCTGACATTAAAGGCGGCATTGTTGACGGGGAAGTTCCTATGTGATTGTGTGAGCAAGTGAGCCTTCCCTCCAGGAGATTAGGCGTGAGATCCTTAATTCCGCTGCAGGCAACCCGAGCATCTTCGCCCAGCTTGCGTACTGCTCGGTCACGTTCTTCGTCTTCTTCTCAGGCTTCGTGACCCAGTACGCTTATGCAGAGTCTACGATGAGATTAAACCGCTGTGACATCCCGCAGTCCCTCACATCAGGTGCAGGGAACAGCTGTTGGCATGACATGAGCCTTGCGCAGGAGTTGACGCTAGCCTCTTTTTGCGAAGCCTTTGAGTAAAGCTCCTGTAATGTAGGGATTTCAGACAACTTTGGGAAGCTCGAGTCGTCGCACGCCAAGGACAAGATGTCCGGTGTCAAAGCACACCTGCTCTCCTTCTACTTGCGGCGAATCGCCCGAGTTCTCCCGATGTACTACAGCAACTGATCTTCCTTGAGTCAAGAATCCACAAACATTTGGGTCATTCCTTCCTGTCGAAGTGTGCCGACTTGAGCTGAAACCCATAGCCTACGCAAGCGTGTTTCTTGATTTTGAATGTCAGGCATGCTGTGTATTCCAAAGTCTATCGTCGTCATAATATATTGTGAGCATCATTGCTTCTGTTGCGAGACTCCTTCATTGAATTTTTGGTCCCACAATGCCATCATTGTTGCAGATGGAGGCATATGCTCTACCTGCCTTTCGCATGCTTGTTTGGAGACTAGGAATTCTGCGTTTGAATAATTTGTTCTTCTCTGAGATGAGCCAAATCATCAGCCCTTACATAAGCCCAGGTATCCACTTCCTGGTGCTGGTCTTTTCTGGCAAGTCTTTGGCAACTGACTTCCAGGACAGTCGCAGCTACCCACAGCCTGATTTGTTCCCAGACGCCTGATACACAAAACCGCAGCTATGACCAAGCGTGAAAATTCTAATGAGGAGTCCCTTATGTAACGATCTTGAAGCAAAAGTCCACAATGTTTTGGGCCACTCGCTGTGGGCAAGATGTTTATGGTAAGTAGCTTGTGTACATGTGACGTGCAAGCTAGACACCCAACCTGAGGGGACCTGGCACTGCCTAGGGCTCAACCTCTCTGGCGGGACCTTACATCGGAATTCCCTGTCTTTTGCTTTTGGCTCTAGATAGGCTTCAGAGTTCATATGTTTTGGATACCCCCATTGTTTGAAGCACGTTCTACATAGAGCTCCAAGTGGCTTCAGCGCGCGCATGTCCGTCATGGACACCCTATGATCTGATAAGGAGCTCTCGTACCCTTACCGGTGGATCTATACACGGTTACAGCAAGGATGTTGTAGCTGCTAGGGCCTGTACTGGTATCAGGGTGTAACAGGAACTACTAGAGGGTTTGCATTTTATGGATGTATAGTTCCCGGCTTCTCAAGAGACATTGCATGTCTATGTTCCTATAGGGGATATCGTACGGCTCCTGCATGGCGTCTACAAGGAGGAATAAATGTGCTGTAAGCTTAGAAAATTTAGCATGACAAACATTAGATTCCATAGAGGTATAGTACACTTAAGGTCCCTCTGAGAAGGGTATGCAGTAGCTAAGCATCATCGAGCGGTGGGTGGAGCTTGCCTGCCGCTTTGCCCGGACAATCGCCACATTTTGGTATGCCTCTTGCGCCCCTTGGCTTTTGGGCGGGATCGGATTGGCATGCAAGAGCTTTTGACAGTTCTGTCCATATATCATATACCACCTATATGATATCATATGTGTATACACATACATGCGTCTCTGTGGATTCGCTTCAACCCAGAGGTCCAAGCCCTGTCGCCAAAAATTGCGCTTCTTGACTTTGTGGCCTCTCTTACCAAATCCTGTGTCTTTTCATCCGTGGCTGCAATCTTTGAAAAGGGGCGTCATTCCTGATTCCTAAACCCCTAAATAGATAGTGTGGTCATTGTGCTACGCGTGCAGCTACAATCAGCTTTGCGTAGTTTCCGGAACGACTGCTTTTAATGGAAAGTCACTGGTTGTGCTTCTCCTCTTGCTTTTCGTTATCTGATGCATCTTCACACTTGTCAGGACTCGGTATTGATGTTCTGTACATGGCACGGATCGTCACCTGCCACGAATTTCCCTGCCTGGACTGTTTGCGCATTGGTGTGGCAGCTTGTCAGAACGTTGAAGCTGCAAGGAAGCTTGGGGATCTCAAATGCATAACTGCCAATCATGCACTGTGCTGCGCTGCTATTCATGCAGTTGAATATTGGCTTCGCATTTATATAGGGGCATTTTGTTCTTCAGGGCTTCGAAGATTTTTTTCGGGGCGTGGCTTCAAAGCCCTGTGCTCGTGCACTGAGAGGTGATTGCATCACTGGATTGTTAACTTTTTATTCAGCGTGTCCGCAATTGTACAGGGCTTCTGCGCATTGCTACAGGGATTAATCTGGGCTCAAGGAGATACTCGTATAGTCGGATATAGTTTATATTTGGCTACCTATCCTGTCTCCCCTCAAACGTGCCAAGCCGCGGCGGAGTGAACAGCCAATTTCCACCCTACACCGCGCCCCTTCCACCCTGCACCGCGCCCCTGGCTGAAGGTGTTGGCTGTTTGCGCCACTCCCATCGCGGATCCTTTTCTTGATGCGACAGCGTCACTTCTCTGCAACCAGGACCTTGTCCGCCCATAAAATTCTCATGTTGATGTTTCGGAAGACCGTGCTTTGTGGGAATAATTCTTGAGATCCAGCCCCCACTGCCCCAGAGTTTAGAGGCTCCCCGTAGCTTGTACGTGTGTAGAATTGTGTAGATTTGAAAACTGGGACTCTCGTCCCGAGAAAGAGAGACCATACATCCTCTCGTTAGGTTCCAGTATGTTGTAGCATTTTTGCAAAGAGAGCATGATTTGACTTGGTTCGGCGAGCCAGCAAATGATGCTACTCATGTGTCATGTGCCCTGCTGCAAGCATATGTCCAAGGTTTGGGGAGCAGTGCAAAGTACTCACTGGCCCTCTGGATGTGTCTGCTCACTCTCGGCTTCTGCAACGAGGTGTGGCTCAGTCGCACGCATGATGGGTCCTGAAGGCTATCTAGGCACCATAACTTGGTGGCCAGTAGCAGGCTCTGGTCGGTAGCACCCACTCCACAAAATACGCTGCGGCACGAGAATGCGAATGTTCACACTGTGGTAGGACTGCATGCATTCAATCAAGAAAGGGAGAGTGCACAATTTGGGGGACCCAAGAGCCAAGAGCCTGGCGGTCTAACCGTCAGCCCCACAAAGCAAAGCAAAGCAAAGCAAAAGAGTGTGCGCACTTGACAGCTTAAGCTCACACCTAAGGAAAAACATGTGCAGGCAAGAGGTAGGCAACGCATTGTAATTGAAGGCCAGCTCTGAACCACTGCTCCGTAAAAGGCAGCCTTCACTAGAATCGCTAGTTCCCACTTCGCCAAAAGAAAGCACAGCAGGGCAAGAGCCAATCGCCTGCAAAATCAGAAATGCAGCTCCGAGAAGCAGCCACGAGAGACCTAGCAGGAGATGACAAGCTTTCCTCTATCCATGAAAGGGCAGACAATGAAGGACAAATTGCGGCCACAGGCTGTTTAGCGCCTGATCATATGGCTGAGCTAGCCAATGTGACAGGAGGATAGCTAGCACCGGATGTATTCGCAGCAGTGGGGCCGCAAGGGCCGTTTCCGAGCCCCATGATGCCCGCAGCGTGGCTTTGATAATTGCATAAATAGAGTCCGAAACCCTCATCTTTTCTCTCGCCAAGACTAGCGAAAAACCCAATCATTAGCAAGCTTTTTACGTGGCCATCGATCCTAGCAGGCCTGGGTATCTTCGATTCTGGACAGACGAAGTCCTTCCTTTTCGAATTCTGTCCTAGTTTTCTCTGGGTACCGGTATGCCCAAAAAAGTGGGACGTCCAGAGTGAAGGCATCATTCGGAGGAGGCTATTTACTTTAGTACCCGATCCGCGCAAAGGCATGTGACCCAGATAGGTCAGAGGCTTTTCTTCCACCCACCCCCGAAAAACATGCCCCATGCGTTCCCAAAAAATGCATTCGCCCAAACCTTGTTGAGAATCCTTCCTCAGGTGGTCTCGCGTTGCATCCTGCCTTGATAGTCCATGGTCAGACACCTCTGGGACAAGGCCAATTTGTCTGTGGAGCAAATTCCGACTGACCTCATGTACTTTAAATTGAATATTAGCCCAAAATCTAAAGAAACAATGTCTAGCAAAGAGGGGATTGCTTCGGCGGTCCGCGTTGCGTTCCACCATGTTCCACTCATGGGTGGCAGCATGCCAGGGCAGTTCTTGGACCAGCGGGGTGGCTGCTGTTCTCGTTGGCGTTCGACCAAGTTGTAGTTGCAACGGACCAGAACCTGAAAGAAGAGCACCCTGCGAGAATCTAATCTCATGCATGCCCGGTCCCTGGAGTGGCTGATAGCTTGATGGCTGAAAACAAGCAGTCTTGTAACTGACACGGCTCTTCGGCGAGGCTGGTTCCGTAGGGCATCTGCTCATCATGTTTAAGTGTTGGAGAGGGTGTCGCCTTTGGGGTTGGTGTCGAACCCATTTGGAAGGTAAGCTAGCAGAAGCAGAAGCTTGCTTCAGGGTCTTGATTCTTCTGTGTGTCATGGGCTCTTGCATGAGGCGTTAGGAACAATTCTCGAGTTTTGGGAGGTTCGGGGGGGGGGGCATTAGTGCGCTCGTTCAACGTCGCTCTAAAAATGTGACGGTCGGAACCTTGTGCATGTCCAGGATTGCCGTATGCTAAAGCAACGAAGGCATACCAGCAAGATGAAGACATGGACTTGGACTATTGGTTCTACGCCTCTCATTTGCAGGAGTAGTTGTTTGTCTTCTTCTAGCAGAGCGTGCAGAGCGGCTTTTTTGAATGAAAGCTGAGGAGACGAAACACAATGTGTTCGTCTTCTGCTTGGGGATGGGCATCTCAGAGGCAACCTGTGAGGAGTAGAAGTCTCCTTTCTAGCATCTTCCGCCATTTTGCAACAACCCAAAGCCTGTGATTTTTGCAGGATGGGGCAGCACCAACAAAAGTCATTCAGTGAAACTTCAGCTAGGAGACTTGCCAATCCTGACCAAGCAGATACGTGAATACACATTGGGTTAGGCCCCCACCCACTAATAGTGGTATATTAGGAATATCTAGGGACCCCAATATAATTACCATTTTCAATTGTGGTCACTATTAGTGGGCGGGGGCCCAACCTAAGATATACACGTCAGGGATGCAAGGGCGGTCTCCTGCAGCGAGGTGGCACAACACATGCCTGATGCCTCCCATCTTTCCTGGGTTTGGCCCATCTGCTGTGACGTGACCTTGCGCCTTGCTTGAAACGTTTCCAACAGCATGCGCTAGAGGTTCTGATTCTTGGAAAGCTGGGTTTGTAGGATCCTTTGAGACAGGATCCTTCAGACAAGGGTTTCTTAGAATTCCGCCTTAGCCAGGATTCAAGCTTCCGGCTGTGTGTGCTCTTTCGCAAATGCCGCCTTCTCAATTTACATTTGGGCGAATTTGCAAAGATTAGGCTTTGTCATTTTGCGGATGAGAGCCCTTATTGACCCGGGCGCCCTTCCTAATTTAACACTCATCATGCTGATGTTCCAAAACATGACCATCTTCCGCCTGCTGCAGGCCATTAGAAACTGCCCATGCTCGATGAAAGTTGGGCAAATCACCTCGAAATCACTTCTGCGCACCTCATGGAACTGACTGGGCGATGCAAAACTACCGCGATAGCCGCAATGCCAGAGTTTGCGATCAAATTAGCGACGTGCTGTTTGCTCCTTCCTCTTTACCGCGCCACAAGATTTCTGGCCTTGGGCACAACCGCATGCTTGATCTAAGCAATGGCAAATTTCATTGGCATTGCTGCAACAGAAAGTTCGACATCCACAGACCCTGCACCCACCAGACTGCCCGCAGCCGTCAGACTTCAGGAAACGGACTAGTTCGGATACCAAACAAAAGAAGGTGCTCGAACACGTGGCTTCTGGATTGTCTGCAAGCCCAATGAGTCCTACAGTGCGCAAATCTGCAAAGCCCGCGCCTGCCCGCAAATGCCCTTCCTGAGGCTACTGACCCTCGGCTTCACTGCTTCGTGGGAACGGCTATTTCCGTCCTGGGGCTGCAGCTACTGGAGTGGTGCTTTTGCACCTTGGAACTGAAATGGTGTCCGCTCAGGATTCTGCGTTGAAAAATTGCCTTGATGTTAAAGTGAAGGATTGTGCGAAAACGAACACAGAAGCAACTGACTGAGCCCGAGCGTCACACATGAAGGGCTAAATGGGGGTCTCAATCTTGATTTGTGTGACTATGGTCGTCATATCTGGCTCGGCGCTTGCGAAACAAGATCCTGGCTGCCAATTATGCCTGCTTCCAGGCATAGGCATAACACACCCAAGCTCTTGCAGGAGGACTTCACCATCTCTTTAGTCCAGAGCCAACTAAGGCACCCGTGGCTGTGTGGGTCTTGACATCCACTTTGGGTTGCTCGAACGCAGATATCCAGGTTATCGACTGCAACCAGTAACGGTGCCGCAGCTTGCCGGCAGGTTTTCATGTGAAGGCACTGGTTGCACTATGCCTGGAGCTTTGAAGCTTAGACTGCCCAGAATGACAATCTACTTCGTCAGCCATGCACCAGCTTCTGAGTGAGGAAAGGTTTAGGATTTATAGGTCTTCTGCAAGACAGAGTCTAAGGCCACCAGTCCATCTTGAACCGAATCTGCAGTCACGGAGACCTGGCTGCACTGAATCAATTCTGCCACAGCCACAAATTCTACCGGCACAATGAATTCACAAACACGTGCAATGTAGCTGTGTGCAGACTGCCAAAGATGCGCCACGCTGGCAGAACAGGCGTGGCCCTGGCCGCTCAAGAAGAATGTAAACCGGGGTAATGTAGGGGTTATATAAGGGTTATATAGGGATTATATAGGGGTTATATAGGGATAATGGAAAAGAGCATGGAAACCCTCTGCTACAACATCCTTAAGGTTCTGTGCTTGACAGCACACTTCGAGCACCGCATCAGCAACTGCGGGGCACTTTTCAGCCGAGGAATTCTCCAGACGTTGGGGGACTACTCCATGCAGATCTACCTGCTGGCCAATCCGCTGCATGACTTGCTCAGCCAAGATGTTGAGCCGAGTCCAGGCTGATGAGTTGCCATTTCGTCAAAATGTAAGCCTTGGCGGAGCAGCCATACTGTTCAGCTGATAGTCCGGTACCTTGTAAGAAGCTGTGGTTCTGCCTTCATCCCATAAAACCACATCAGGCTCCGATCATGTGCGTTGAGCTTTAATCAAGCTCTGACCACACTTGGACTGAGTTAAACTTAGCTCGGGGCTAGGCCCACAGCCTTGGGATCCTTTTTTGACCCGATTCTCTCCACAACTTCCCGTTCATCATTCTTTTCCCAACGGGCATTCCGCTTTGTGATGAGCACCAGCGTTGCTGCCGAAGAAGGGGTCTGTCTGTTGTAGAAAATCTAGCCTGGATTTAACATCAACGTTCCTCTGGCATTCTTTCCTTCATCCTTTTCATGTAAAATCTGCAGCCTAAGTAAGGCACTCTATGACTGTATGACCCTCAACGGCTCACACTAGAACCACAGATGGAGATCCTACCCGCATAATGATTCCTGGCAATCTTCTGAGCAAGCCCAGCAACCATCTTTGCTTACAGAGTGCAACTGGGAACATCCTGTTGAAGGGGCATGTCAGGATGGATCGAGGAACATCGTCCCTTTTCATTGGAAGCCAGAATACTGATGACATGCTTCGTGATTCCAAAATTCCGATCCGTAGGATATCAGATTGGAACGGTAGTTGCAGCGGTAGCATGTAAGTCATGAATGACTGCGATGATCGCCACAAAGCTTGGACATGAACACCAAACGAGAGAAGACTCATCCAATCGCCCCAAGAATCCCATGTCCCGTGTGCAACAAGCTTGCATGAAGCTTCTCAAATCTGTCTCAAAAGCCATACAATCCTGACTGCACGGTTTTGCAAAAACCTTAAAGAGCAAGTGTTCGTGGTTTGTGGTTTCGCAACCGTCCCCAAGCCAATTGGGATTTACAGTCCCCTGAAACCACCAAAACGAGGATCCTACTCTATGCATTCGTCATCACGGCGGCTGTTGCCTCAGCGGATCTCGCAGAGCGCCCCTGGTCAGAGCCTGGACAGAATTGTTTTATGGTAGAAACAATGGATCAGGGTGTGTCCCTTTGCCATGCAAGATCTACGAGGCAATCCACAATGTTTGTACGAAGGTGGCGGAAGCATGACAACAGGAGACCCAATATGATCATCATGATTACTCGTGACAATGAAAACAGCGAATAGACATCATAAGTAATTTGCCTTGATACAATAGGGACTGCAGCATGATAGAAGTGACCAGGGCAGCAATAATGTATATTGGTATTGCAAAACATGCGTGTTGTGGAAATCATAGTCATAGACGTCCTTCTGCCATGCAAGGTTGCTTATTCATCAGGACGCCAGTAGCTTCAGGTGGGGAGCTGGGTCTTCAAAATCAGGCCTGAATATGTTTAGGTTGATTATACAGTGTCAAAGCAGAAATTGCAGTGCGATTCGCGTCTAGAATCTAGAACGAAGCACCAAGCAATGTTAAGCATGATGCCGCATTCACATGCGGCACCTTTGCAGACGTATCCAATTTAAGCCTAGGGAACGGCTTCGCTAAAGCCTAGACTTAGAACGTAGCCTGCAGCTTTAGCTGCACCTTCCTGCCTGCAATACATGTTGGAGCTTGATCCATATTGTTAACCATATTTGTCTTGCAGTGCGGCTTCAAATCCGCTCTGCATGTCTTCATTAGAAAGCTACAGCTGCCAAGGAGTTCCTCAAAAAGTCCACCGACGAAATGCAACGTAGAAGTGCAGGCAAGGTGTCTTGTCATCCCGTTGAGTTCTGGGACCTGCCTCTTTACGAGGACCCTCAAAGCGCGCCTTCCCATTGCGAGCGACGAGTTGTAGGGTGAGTTTGTGAACTGTTAAAGGAACGGGGGCGCATGGGTACTGACACCGCAGTACTGGAAGCCTGACGTCCCAATCGCAGCTCTCATGCTTCCTCCAGGTTCCAGCATGGGCTTTGACGACGGCATCCTGCTGGCCGAGAGCACAAAGTAACGCAGAAAACGCAGAAAAACAGACCGTGCTCAGCTGCGACTGCAACTCAGAATGTTCAATTTCCTGATGTGATACTAAATATGGATGCTGTTGTTCGGTACGAATATTTATATGCATATATAGCAACAACTGATGTAGTGGTGGCCAGAGGGCTCTGTGGTCAAGTGAACGTTTAGGTTGTCAGCAACCGGAAAACCTTGATAGAACAAAGTTGACCCCTTGTTCAGGGCCATGGCATATAGGCTATAACTCTCGAGCGCATGCAATACACACAGCCTGACCGTCTGGGAGGGCAGAGCTTGATGAACAACAAGAAAGAAGTCATTGCATTTTCTTGGTGAGGCAGTTTTTGGCGGCTACCGGCCCTGAAGCCGTGGAGCAAGTGAGCCGCGTCATGTCATGGTGGCAAAGCGCCACAGGTTTCCGTAGTAAAGCCGGCTTGCGCTTGCTCTCGTGTATGCCCTGGCTGGGCCTGAAAAGCGCACGTTGCGACAAAAGGCTGCAGCATAGACAGGCCACAGACATTTGGGAAGCACTCTCTGCCTCCCAACGCTGCTAGTGTGCTTTGGATGCATCTCGCCGCCGGTAGGGCACCGTATTCGTTCCTAGCCTAGCGCCTGGCATCTAGATGAGGTTCAAATCTGACACAGGCCAGATTGGGCTGTCACTTCAATCCTTGCAATCCTTGCATCTTTGAGAACCGACTCCTATTATTCCCTGCAACCCCTGAGAGTCCGCAAGTCAGTGCTTTACAACACGAATTCCGTGACGCTGCCCAAGCTTGCACCATGTGCTGCTGACAGTTTTGTAGCTCAAGCGGGGATATTCCTCAGCCTTCTGCGCCTTCTGCGGAAAGTAGTGGGGCATGGGGTCTATTGACCTCGCAGTGTTCGTCACCGCATTCATCCTGGATGCCGTGTTGGTATGTAGGATGGCGTGTTTGGCGCTGACACATCGCAGTGCCATCTGGGAGCTTGCTCGAAGGCTTGTGTCAGAGATGCGGCGATGCCTCTTCTGCAATTGCCAGAGTCATAAGAATGCTTTTCTGGTAAACAGAGAGGACCAGCTACGGCAACGCGTGGCTGGGTTGCTGTTAAGGAACTTAAATTAAGTTACTATATTGGGGAAACCCTATTATTTACTATATATATATATATATCCATTATGGTAACTTAAGCCCTAAACCCTAAACCCTATATAA